TAGCTCAACGGAATGAGCTCAATTCTGGAGGTGACTGCTCCAATCTCGCAGCTTTGTTCCTTCTAGCCCTAGTTTTTTTTTTCTTTCTCCGCCCGCTGTATTTGAATCTTTAGGGGAAGGCTAATTTCTTAAATGTGGCTGGTAATTTGACGGTGTTTGACTTTGTTTGTGAGCAGTGAGGATGACGAGGGAAGAGAGGCAGCTGCTTCAGAAGCCTGGGTCTTACGTTGGGGAGGTTGTCAAAGTAATGGCCAAAAATAAGGTCTTAGTAAAGGTAAGATCTTTCGTTTCAAAAACTAAGATTGGTTGCTACAACTATCTGCTGCAATCCAGCTGATTGCTATAGCACTATGTTTTCACGAATGCTATTAAGTAACAGAATTTGATGTCATGTTTGATAGAGCTTCTGTGATTGGAATGGAATCAGAATGAGACCAGCTAGTGATTTGTTTTCTTTTCGCCTCAGTGCTTCGACTTGTTTCTTAGTGCTTCATATTGGAGAATTTGTTTCAATCTAGTCATTGACGGTTTCACTGCAGTTTGTCATTCTGGCTAAAGTTTCCCATTATGTGTATGAGGTAGATGGTGTGACACATTGTTCTGTTGGTGTTCTGTTCAGGTCCATCCAGAGGGGAAATACATTGTGGATGTCGACGAAAGTATCGACATCACAAAGATCACACCTTCGACAAGGGTGGCTCTTCGTAACGACAGCTATGTTCTTCACCTTGTGTTGCCCAGCAAGGTGGATCCTCTGGTCAATCTTATGAAAGTTGAGAAGGTTCCGGATTCTACCTATGATATGATTGGTGGGCTTGATCAACAGATTAAAGAAATGAAGGAGGTTAGTTGGCTTAGTGTTTCAGTATTCTGTTTCCTGATCCGTAACTTCGATTGTTGCGAGCTCATTGCTTGTTCTATTCCCTATGTATTGTCAAATCCAGGTCATTGAACTTCCAATTAAACACCCTGAATTGTTCGAGAGCCTTGGAATTGCTCAACCGAAGGTACGGAGAGTATTGTTGTAATATAAGGTTGCATCTTTTGAACCAGTTTTGCCAAGACTAAATTACACAGAGATTCTAACTGTCACACCCTTCTTTTCTTTGTCATAGGGTGTCTTACTGTATGGTCCACCTGGAACTGGCAAAACTCTCTTGGCTAGAGCTGTTGCCCATCATACTGACTGCACTTTCATTAGGGTCTCTGGTTCTGAACTAGTTCAGAAGTACATTGGTGAAGGCTCCAGAATGGTCAGGGAGCTTTTTGTTATGGCAAGGTTTGTTCCCATCTGTATTTTGACCCCTTCCCTTTAGTGAACAGGAGAGATGGGGTAATTCCATCTTGGAATTGGTATTGCAACATGTTTGTAATGGCTTGATGGTTTATATCCTTTTGACATAACTTACTCATTTGGTTATCTACCGTCGATTCTGTTGCAGAGTGCATGCACCATCTATCATCTTCATGGATGAAATCGATAGTATTGGTTCTGCTCGAATGGAATCTGGAAGTGGCAGTGGCGACAGTGAGGTGCAGAGAACTATGCTTGAGCTGCTCAATCAGCTTGATGGATTTGAAGCATCTAACAAGATCAAGGTACTGCATCTGTAACTTGTAGAAGAATGGACTTTGTTGAACACACTATTGTATGTTGCAATTTCTCGGATGAGATCTTATGTTCTCATTTGTCTCACAGGTCCTGATGGCCACAAATCGTATCGATATTCTTGATCAAGCTCTGCTCAGGCCTGGACGAATCGACAGGAAGATCGAGTTCCCTAATCCTAATGAAGACGTGTGTACACGATTTTAATCTCATGTCCTTGATTTCCTCCTTAACTAGAAGATACTAACTTCAATTGTGCAAAATTGCAGTCTCGCTGGGATATCTTGAAAATCCATTCAAGGAGAATGAACTTGATGCGTGGGATTGACTTGAAGAAGATAGCAGAAAAGATGAATGGGGCATCAGGTGCAGAGCTCAAGGTAAGAACAAACAATCTTAAGCCACACCTCTTGTGTTGTTCTTCTCCCCCTCCAGTTAGGTTAGTCTTGCTAGTCTCATGCTGATGTGAATCATTTCGCATTTGGCAGGCGGTGTGCACAGAGGCAGGGATGTTTGCGCTCAGGGAGAGGAGGGTGCACGTAACACAGGAAGATTTCGAGATGGCGGTGGCTAAGGTTATGAAGAAGGAGACGGAGAAGAACATGTCGTTGAGGAAGCTGTGGAAGTAATTGATGAAACAAGAGATGGAGAGCTGCAAAAAACTACTAGGTTATTGATTAGAGTAAACCTAAGAGCTAATTTTTATATGATACATGAGTGTCCTCTTAAGTGGGAAGCATGACTATCTTGGCAGAATGATACTTATTTTGTTTCGTGGATTCATAGTATTATTTACTAATTTCATGTTCTTGATTTATACAAAAACATATCATTACATCTAACATAACAACTATCAATACATAGGAGGACAATTGGCCTTTACGTTTGTACATAAATATATAATGTACATAAAGTCAATGAGACTGATCATATAACCACTAACCAAATGTATTGAATTTTGAGAGAGGTATAAAGTATTCCGTTCATACTTTGAAAGTCTACCAACTCCTTATGTCAACTTATTCTTGTAATAAACTATTTGGTTGGAGTATTTCTTATAGAATATTTTGTCCCAATAACTGTGAGAGGTTCAATTACAGATTTCATACTATTTGTTCACACACCCTTCAAATGAAAGGCAACTCATACGGACTTGAAGTTTGTATAGGTCTAGATACCATATGCTTAATAATATTAAGGGTCGTGTAAATTCAAACACAAGGTCTCTCAATCATAAAGTTACTATAATCTCATAAACCATTTGGTCTCAATAACTCGAGTTGTTGGGAGAGGTTCAATTATGAATCTCATACCATTTACTAACACACCCCTCTCAAACGAAAGCCAACTCGTATGAGGCTTGAAAGTTGCACAGATCTGAATACCATGTGCTTAGGGCTTCAAAATTGCGAATTGAAAACAAGATCTTCTTGTTCTTGTAAACAATTTTAGAAAGAAAACAGTATTTTGTGATCTCTATTATTTTCTAGTTAGTATATTCTACAACTGAGTTTAATGTAAAATGTAATTGAAGATGAATTTAGTGAAACCCGCCCCAAGCCCGCTCATGACTTTCTCTAGTTGTAGCTAGGGTGGCCTCTTCCCCCTTGAATTCTTGATAAGGAAATTTTGGACCAATTCATAGCAAGCAACAACAAGACTGCACAAAATCTGGCAAATGGATCGAGGAGAGAAGAAACCCAATGAACCACTTGCTCTGCCTCTCTCTCTTTATGCCCTGTTTCCGGCCGTCCAAATTCCGGCAGCGTTCTAATCAATCTTCTTGTTTACCATTTCCAGCCATACGCCGGTTCGAACCTTCTCAAATCCCAAAGACCCTTATCTACATAATAATATTCGATCAAATCAATACAGTTGACTTCTTCCCTCTCCCCCCCTGCAAATTAAAACCCTTCCCCTGCTTTTTCTTCTTCACTATCCTCGCAAAAATTCCTCCGAACCACCATTCCAAATGTCAATCCTTCCCCTCTCCTTCTCCTTCTCCCTCTTCCTAATACTCTTCCCCTCCGTCTGCCTCGCCGATATCGGCACCGCCGCGTGGTACGCCCCGCCGTATTCCCGTAAGCAACCACTACTGTTTTTACTCATTACCCACTTGTCAAAGATTGGTTTTTTCTTTTTTTTTTTAAAGCTGCGATTGTCATTTACTCTTGCTGCAGCGACGGCGTGTTCCGGCAGCGACGCGTCGCAGTTCCCGTCGAGCTCCCTGTTCGCGGCGGCAGGGGAAGGGATATGGGACAATGGGGCGGCCTGCGGGAGGCAGTACAAGCTGCGGTGTCTCAGTGCGGTGGCGGCCGGATCGTGCAAGCCCGACGAGACGATTGAAGTCAAGATCGTGGATTACGGCCGGAGCTTGGTGTCTCCCCGGTCGGCGGCGGGGACCACCATCGTGCTGTCGCAGACGGCGTTCGAGACCGTCGCGAATTGGACCGCTAGCCGGAGTATCAACATTGAGATCCAACAGTAAGCAACCATGCTCTGTTTTTTTCTCTTTTCTCAATTTTGATCGAATTCTCTGTTTCTGTTTTAAATCTCTTGGGGTTGGAACTTTCCGTTGCAGGGTCTGAATTATGAAGAACAGTGATGGAGATGGAGTGGGTCTACTGACTTTCCTCGAGGATTCCGAAATCGCGGAAAAGGAAACCATGTCTGTCCTGGATTGTAACGGGCGATAACTATGAGGAAAGTTTAGACCACAATTGAGAAATCCATTGGCATCAGCTTTCTTGGATATGAAATTCTTTCATTTGGTTTATAGCTAACAATTCCAAATCAATAAGACAAATTACTTTTTTGGCATGGAGTAGAATTGCATTTCATGTCATGAATGAACGAGTTAGTCCCAATAATTTGAGTTGTTTGAATAAGGTTATGCTGAATCTTATATTATATTCTAACACGCTCTCTCAATCAGAAGCCAACTCATGGGCTTGAAGTTTGCATAGTCCCACTATACCTTATGCTTTAATCAATTTTTAATATTGAGGGTCATGGAGATTTGAACAAACGACCACTTGGTCAAACCAGCTCTAATACCATGTCAAGAACCAGTTGATCCCAATAACTCAAGTTATTGGGAGAGATTATGCTGGATCTTATACCACACTCTAACATTCACAACAGCAAGTAGAATGTCAATGAGTGATGACATGCACTGTCGGTACCACTATATAGGTAATCAACGGTCTAAATTGATTTTAGGATATTTTAACGGTATACATTTATACAAGTTACTTAATTTGAAATTATACCATAAGACATCACTAACTTTTATATTTATCGATATATCGTGATATTTTGGCGTTTATCGTACTCCCGAAGTATTCTCTCCCACGGGTAGCCATCATATCCGGCTCGAAGTCCGTCTCCGCAGAAAATTATGTAAAAGGAAAACAAATGAACAGATCGAAACGTTTCAGGCTACATTTTACGAGTCCATCGCCTCCCTGCCTGCTTCCCCTTATCCACATATAACGAAATCAGAACACTCGATTGATTTCCCGATTCGAAGACCGTCCGTCGTCGTCTCCTCTCGCCGGAATTCTGAGTTATCCCGGCTCCGCCGTCCGATCAAGTCAAGATATTCCGCTTCGTCTCCTGCATAGCCACCTTCCTTCCTGGAATTTCCCCGATTGCGGGATCTCCGTTGGTTGTCGTCTTCTGAAGACCCCGGTCAGGTGAGATGATTTGGCTTATCATCTCGATTTGCTGTCAGCTAATTGCCCAATTCGAATTTAGGGTTCCCCAAGACGCCTGACATCTTTGGTTTATTATTTACTTAGATGAGAGCGGAAGTCCAGATGGAGCCAGCAGGCGGGGAGGGTCACAGTGACGCCGACCCTCTGCTGCAGAATCAGGCCGATTCGCCTCTTTCGTCGCCTGCAAGTCCCAGCGAGATCACGAACGAGGAGGATGATCTCGAGAACGGGTCGGTTCCCACTTGCCGCATTTGCCTCGAGAGCGATTGCGATCCAGGTTAGTGTTTCATCGGATGAAAAGTCTTGAGCTTGATCGCTTTTGGCTAACTGGGTTCGGGTGGAGTTTCTGACCCGACTGGCTATTCGTTCCAAAGTTTCTATTTTGTGAATCATTGGATTGGGTGATTGTGGTTGAAGTGGGAATTGTTGGTGTTGGTTTAGGAAATAGAAGAGTGAACAAAGTGGTATCCTTGAACATGGTCAGAATTAGACTCTTGGAAATTGGTGCCACTATGGCTGCTTGCTAAGTTTGTGGTCTGGAATAGATGTAGTTTAGTTGGATGGAGTGCATTTTCTTGCGGATGGTTCAATTTAGGTTTGCTGTGCTTAATGTTGAGATATTGATATTATAGGAGATGAGCTGATATCTCCATGTATGTGCAAAGGCACTCAACAGTTTGTTCACCGTGTGTGCCTTGATCATTGGCGTGCAGTTAAGGTAAGCACTCCGCTCATGAAGCTGATTACTTTTTCTTGGAGTTAATTTAGCTTGTTCTTGGGTATACAATAAATAGATCTTCTGTCTCTTTTTTATATAGGAAGGATTTGCTTTCTCTCACTGCACTACTTGCAAAGCACAGTTCCATCTTCGAGTTGCATTGCTTGAGGTGAATTCTTGGCGTAAAATAAAGTTCAGACTTTTTGTGACAAGGGATGTCCTTGTCGTGTTTTTGGCCGTACAAACAGTGAGTAATCTGTCTACTTTCTAAGTTCTGAGTTTATAATGTGCCTTGGCAATAATAGTTGAACAACCAATGTAATCCACACAAAATTTGTAACCACCCTGTAGGCTGTAGCATCTTATGCATTGATTTGCATACTTGAATGAAGCAATTGGATATCTGTGCTATTTGACTCAAATCTCTTAGATAGTCACTTTAAGTATTGGCATTCAAATGAATCAGTCTACAGCTACTCAGGTAGCCATCCTATTCCAACTCCGCAACAGGAAATCATAAAAAGAGAAACTTATAGAAGACTTGTAACCCTAGATGACATAGGAGGACTGTTTCCATGTCTAATTCTTTTTTCTTCTTCCCAGGTGATTGCTGCTATGGGCGGATTTGCCTTCCTAATGGACAAGGATGGAGCCTTTAGGAACTCATTCAGTGATGGTTGGGATCGAATACTGTCTAAACATCCCATTCCCTTCTACTATTGCATAGGTAGGGGAATCTCTGTCTATCACCTTGTTATTCTCACTCATATTTGCTGACTATATCTCATGGCAGTATTGATTTTTTATCCTTCCATTCATAGTCTGCATGCTGATGTTGCTGGGAATAAATTGCTTTTATCAGGAGTTTTGGCTTTCTTTGTGCTGCTCGGGTTCTTCGGCCTTATACTACATTGCTCGACCCTCAACAGCAGTGATCCTCGGATGGCCGGATGCCAGAACTGCTGCTACGGATGGGGAATCTTGGACTGCTTCCCTGCATCCATGGAAGCATGTTTTGCATTGGTACTGGTGTTTGTTGTCATTTTTGCCATCCTCGGCATAGCTTATGGCTTCCTTGCTGCCACCATGGCTATTCAAAAGATCTGGCAGAGACATTACCACATCCTCGCCAAGAGGGAGCTAACTAAGGTGATACATCGATCGATATTACCACATTTTCCCCAATTGTTTTGGTTCCAGAAATAGAAGAGGTTTCCATAGTGTTGACGGTGAAACGTTTCGCAGGAGTACATAGTGGAAGATCTTAACGGTTGCTATACCCCACCAAAGCTTGACGCGGAACATGAAGAGAAGTTGAAAATGCTAAAGCTTTTGTAGCTGGGTACTTGTGTAAGAAAAAAAAGGTAAATGTTGGAAGTCATTTGAGAAGACAACATGTGATGTTTAACTAACTATTATGTACTACCCTGGTTCTGATATAGAATGAAGCAGAATTCGAAGGAGATTTCTTCTCTCGCTTTTCCTACAAAAATTGGTCGATTAATTTGTCACAACTGTCATTTCGATAAGTTCATATGAAACTACTGCAGGCTTTGGTTACAACGTAAAGAAAATATATTTGTCCGATGTTTATTTAGTATTCATGCCCGAGTATGCAATTTATGAAATACAGAGTACAATTTGAATCCAACCATTACTACTATGAATAGGATAGTCTACTACATGATAACATTGATATGATTTTCCAGTACAAGCTTTTCTTCAAAGTGAAGAGAAAATAGGGACGCCTGGTATGGTGGCTCCGGCATCCACGAGGAACATATTGCCCGTCACATACTGCGACGAATCATGAATGAGGTATCGGATGATCGATGTCAGTGCTGGATCTACAGTTCCATATGTTTGTAGAGGGAGTGTTCTCTTGCCGGCCTGCTTCAGCCAGTCTTTCTGCATCAGGCCTTTCGTGATCTCGGACTGGAAAATTCCAGGTGATATAGAATTGACCCTGATCCTGTACACCCCCAACTCCCGAGCCATCGCCTGTGGCAAGACAAATCAATGCATTAAGAACTTCCATGTAAGGAGAAACACATGTGATCTTTGTATTGCAGGTGTTCGTGTCTAAGAAGAGAGCAGAGTGTTCAGTTTTACCGCTGTCAGTGCATTTACTCCCGCTTTGGAAGTAATATAACCAACATTACCGACCGCCACTTGACCACGAGGGTGACCGGCGATCGAAGCGATGTTGATTATGCAACCTCCGACCCCGGCATCACGCATTCGCTTGCCGACTGATTTCGAAACCAACCAAGTCCCCGTCGTATTCGTCTTCACCTCGTGGTTCCATTCCTCTTCAGAATACTCTAATGGGTTCTTAATGCTACCTCTCACCCCTGCATTGTTGATCAATGCATCCACCCTCCCAAACGCCTCCCAAGCCCTCTGCACCGCAGCGTCGATGGCCCCACCGTCCGTCGAAACATCCATCTCCACAGCCACAGCGCGACGATGCAGACCATCGCTAGCGATGGTCTGCACATTGATCTCGTCGCACAGAGACTGCAGGCGGTCGACGCGTCTAGCAGCAGCCACTACCCTGCATCCAGCTCTGGCTAGGTCGAGAGCGAACTCTCGGCCCAGCCCTGAAGATGCGCCCGTGACGAGGACCACTTTGCCTCGCAGGTCGCACCACGGCTCGAGCTGCGAGTCTGCTGTCACGGCCGTCATCACCTTGCTAGCCATTGCTAATGCCTGATGAGAGTGGGGTTCCCCTGACAAGGTGAGTAGGGGATACAGAGAGAGTTCAGTCACGCAATTCAGCGAAGAACACTACGAGCTGGTAGTACTATATAGTGACGAATTTTTTCTGGTGGTTAAAGAAGGCAGGCAGGCAGTTGGGCGGCGCAGTACTGCCACTACAGGAATTGGACGGCCAAAAGTAAGCATTGGGCAGCCAGCAATTGTTGTCTATGTGGAATGCTACTGTAGGAGTTTCAGAAGAAGATGCATAAACAGTATACTGCAGCTGGCAGAATGGATTTGGTTTACACATTACACCTCAGCTGGTAGGCCTCTCCCATCTTATTGCCTAAATTTTGGTGGAAATTTGGCTTCAAGCCCAAGGTTGTCGAACTGTCGGATTAAGCCGTCAAGTTGGTTTGACAAGTGATTTGAAGTTTAATTGTTGGATGGGATTCAACGTCGCTCTATTCCATCTATGGTTCAAGGTTCACGGTCCACCACAATGAGTCAAGAAACGAAAGAGTGATGCTGAGCCATCATACATTTGCATTGCTGTATTGCTGCAATTTGGAAAATGACATTGAAAGAGAGGCAACATTGACACTGGCTAATGACAATCCCCTCTTCCGAGCTATAACCAAGCTCCTACAGTCCTACTGCATTCTCCTCCCCCTGCTTACAAGAACTCTGGTTCTGTTCAGTAATCAGTGGTCACTTCTTGGAATGCCCTACATCATTGTTTGCTTCCCAAAATAGATATACACAGAAGAAAAGGCACACCGCTGTACAATGCCCTCCCCAAATAAGTTTATAACAGAAACCACAGTCTGCAATCACTCTGCATACTGGAATCAAAGCATCAAGCAGATCAGCATTGAGACTAAAACAACATTAGGTTGCAGTTTTCTGAACTTGAAATTTGTAGGTGCTGCTGGGATTGCAGTTGAAGTTCCCGTCGCCTCCAAACCCGCACTTGGTATTGTAGCCTGGATAGTCTATGAAATGAAACACCTCCCTTGCAACAAGCATCAACCCGGTGGCGGAAGCCAAGCCCTTCAGATCCCATTCCCTATGGAACGCATTCGTTTTGTGGGTGATGTGAACTTCCCCTCCATCTTCTTTCAGCAGCTTTTTGGCATTCTTGAAGAATAGTCTTATCAGCTTCTGGTGCCTCCTGCAAATTCACATAAATCAGGTGGCAATAGCAATACAGCTCAGTAAAAAAAAGGTTCTTGGTGGCATTAACTTCAGCTCAACTCCTACTGTGGTGTACAACAACGCTAATTTAACGAACCGAATCTGTGAATCCCTGGATTCTTCGCGGAAGAATCCAGCGAATGGGAAGTTGAAAACGATGCGATCAAACTTGATTCCCTTGAGCGAGCCGTGTTCTGCCATTTTCGTGGCGTCCAACCCATGCATTACCAAACACCCTCTAGCTCTTAGTCCTGCGATGTTCGCCATAGCTTTACTGTAATTCTTGCTCAAAAACTCTGCAAAATCACAGTGCACACACCAACAAAGATTAATCTTTAGTGACACTAAGGTACATTACTTATTAGATTATTCCTGAACTCGCCTTGGGAATTTAGTGAAGTAGCAACTATGTTGACAGCAGCAGTGCCAAAGGCCAAAGCCAAACTAGCCGAGAACGAGAAATCGCCTTCCCCGACCAGTAGAATCACGTGCCTGCTGCAGTAATGCTTCTTCCACACCTCCTTCACCTCGCACAGCTTCAGCTTCACTTCCTGTCGGCTGTTTAACTCTGCTTGCTTAAAGGCCGAGATATCCACACATACTTGATCATAACTTCTTCCTTGCCCCTTCTTCATATGCACGAGCTGATCGAAATCAATGGTTACACTGTCACCCCGCTGCCTACCAATTGATGAATCTCCAAGCCCATCTTGCATTGACAATGGAGCTTCAGTGGAGGGATCGACATTGCTGCAGGGAGGGTTTGGTGGAGTGCTGCTCCCCGGAAACAAAACAAAGTGTTTTGGAACTTGAGGTGTTTCTAAAGCAACCAACAAGCCATGCTGCTGTAATTCCCCATCACCATTGGAGATGGAGGTGAGCAGTGCATCACGGAGGTTCACATCTTCAATGATGGTGGCTGTTGGAGGCAGGGGATTTTCGCCTTGTTGGACCGATTTCGGCCTTGCTATCTCTTCATCATCACGATCTTTGCGGCGGCCGCCACAAAGACAGCGAAGAAAACAAGATAAGATGTGACCCATTAACCCCCAAAAATCAATCAAAACATCTTCATCAGCCACACCCTTTGAAGTTCAGCTGCATGCAGAAGGGTATTGCAGCACTTGTAAACTCAGATGAGAAATGACATGCGAAGCAAATGTGCAGGACAAACTAAGCATGCAAGAACTCAGAAACAACTCAACAAAGTAAAGATCAGAAGATTATAGAAAGTAGAACAAGCTCGGTTCAAAAGTGGTTACTGTTGAAGACGAGACTGATTAAGAGTGAAGCTTGGTTCTGGGTCTAGCTTGAGTTGAGAGAAAGAGATCATCAATGGGGTCGTGCCAACAATTATCAAATCATCGAAAAGTCGAATGGGGTTTGGAGTTGATCAAAACCCATTCTGGAGACAAGGAAACTTTCCCATGAAGGAGTTGAAAGGAGAAAGACTGAACGAGTAAGAGAGAGAGAGACTTGAAGCGTCTTTATTTAGTGTTTTATTACACTCCACCACCTCTGTCTCTTCCTTGTACCTTCCTAAAGCCACTCTCTCCAATGGTCTTTCGTTCTTTCTTCAAGTCTGCTGCTTTCTGCTTTTCGGGTGTCGAGTCAGCGCAGCCTGAATAGTAGCAACCCAAAACTACTATACTCACAAACAAAAGCAACCTTCCTTCTGTTCTTGATACTCCTTTCCTGCAAGATACATTCCATGGAGATACGAACAATAATTGATTGATCTAGATGTTTTTCTTACATTTTCTTTGCTTGTTGCAAAGAGGGAAAGATGAGTCCCTTCAAAGCTGACATTTACATACTTCAACATTACATCAAACACAATCTAGCCTAGACTACACCAATCTCTGGATGTGGACGTTGAGCGTCTTCTTCGTGGCGGCGACTTCAAATCTGCAAATGTCGCCTTTGTTCAACTTGTTGTCAGTGGCAAACTTGATCCAGCCTCTGGACGGGATACTGTAGCCGTGGTGATCGTAAGCCAACAGCTTCACCTCCCATGTTCTGTCGCCAACTCTAAGCTGCAGCAACTCCATGCTCGATTTCGTGATGTACTTGCGGATGAAATCCAGTGGGAAATTCTGCACCAGAAATCGAAAGAGGTCATGAATTTCTCGCAGAAAGAATGTCCATAGGCTGCTTAAAGTTATGTAACTCACAGGACTGCCACGAGAAGAGAAATGCTTGTTGATCACTTTACTGAAAGAAGGCTGCTTCGTGGGAATGTTCGCCCCGGCTGCAGCGAGGCCAGGATCATTTGGAAGGTTGGAGGATGAAGGTCTCAACTTTCTTCCAGCATTGTCTGTTACAAGTGTTCATACATACAAAAAACCAAACGATTAATTTAGGGTTTGGACTTTTGGAGTTCTCTTTTTTTGTATCATTTTTTTTTTTACCTGCAAATTCTGCAGCAGGAGCTTTGCCTTTGGGATCTTCTCCCACCTTCTTCATCCTCCCAACACCTGGAGCTACTTCTTCAGGGCAGGAGCGATCGACTGCGAACTTCGAGTCGTCGATCTCCGACGCGGATCGTCCGAATACCACGACGTGGAAATGGGATTCCCCCTGAAGCTCGAAGAGCAGGAAGTGGCCGTGTTGGAAGCTGTAGTGTCGCGAGAACTGCTGCCATCCCTTCTTGAACCAAACCCTTCTTTCATCATCTCTAACCAGCTGTACGAGCCAGGAATCCCCATTTGGGAGCTCGAGAGTCACCTTACTTGGGAGACCATAGCAATGCTCATTGCTGAATTTCATGGGAATCATCTGCCAAAAAAAAAACAGAGATTCGGTGTTTGGATGAAACAGGGGCGATCATGGAAACAGAGAGAGGGGCCATTTTTTTTTACCATGTGCTGGTCTTGATCAATGTCTTCCTGCAGGAGTATTTTGAAGAATCGTGGGCCGGCCCGTGAAACTGAACCATCCTCCATTGTTGCAGAAGAAAGCTTGTGAGTCGAGAACAAAGGGGAAATGAGGGTTTCAATACCCACTTTTTCTAATAATGGGAAAAGGATGAAAAAGATTCTGATGGGGTTTTGGGATGAGACCTTTCACGAAAGTAGTAACATCCACACCAGCAAGAAAGAACAGTCTTTACTTTTTCCTTTGCCATATTTTGATCACTTCACCATATTTGAGAAGCTGACCAGTTTGCGTAAAAAAAACAGAGTGCGCCAATTTATAGCAGTTCGTATTTACTTCAGACTATTCAATCGATTGAATAAAGTTTCAAACATGAATATATTTACAGAATCAAAATTTCTTACGTCTTCTAGTAATCTCTCTATGTAATTATACAACAAGATTTAGTGATTTACAAAAACTTATCAAGACAAACAAACCAAAAATTTCATGATCCCATTCACATGTCTTGTTTTCCTCCATCTTTACTCTTTCTAGTCAGAAAAAAAAAAATCACACTCGCCATCTTTAACCGTCCAAGAAATTCCCAGGATAAACCTGCACAAAAAAGGAAAGAAACAACCTTTAGCATCTCTCAAGAAAGCATTCAAAATGCCATGCTCTGTTTTTTTACTCCTTGCCTGGTTGCTCCTCTCCTGACTCACGCTCGCAGATCTCAGCCTCAGCTCGCCTCTGCCAGTAGTTAACTCATCAAACACCTCAGCTTCTTCCTCAAATCCTGCGTCTCTGGAATTGGTCCTCTGCCACCCAAAAACAAAAATCCATTTTCATGGTCTTCAACACAAGAAAGTTCATCATTCTAAAATCTAAGATCATAAAGGAATTTGCTTTTCGGGTTACCCTTAACGACATCGAACGGGTGCGCATCGGGTCGCCTTCGATTTCTTCGTACTCGACCCCGTCGAGCTCCTTCAGATGATTGGGTTGGAAGAATTTGGGCAGGATTTTCTCCCTGATGCTTATCAAGAAGAAGAAAGGCAGAGGGAACAGGATTCCGGCAACCGGGATCCAGGTCACTCCGAAGCATATCAGGAAATAGATCAGCTGGAAGATCGTGAACTTGGCTATCTCTTTGAAGGGGACTGTCTCCACGAACGATGCGTGTGGCCTTTCCAGAATCCTGATGGTTCAGAAGGCACGCGTATTTTACTTCGTCTTTAAACTAATGATACGTCTAATAGTACGTTGAAAAGCATAAGATATATCAATCCGAATCAGTTTCGGAAAAGAACTTACTTGTGTCGTCTGGTGGGAGTGATGAGAAGCAGAACAATTCTTTCCCAGAACTGGTTTCCAGGGAGACTGTCTATGGCCATGTAAGCGAAATACCCCCACAGGACCGAAGTCGGGATCTTCTTGATCACAGGCATCGCCATTAGCGACACGCCGATAAGGAGCGATTGCATGAAGTTGCTGAACCGCTGCTCGATTACACGAACAGGCAAGTAAGCATCGATCTTCTCCGGATCGAAGCTGGTCTCGCCGCCCTCTTTGCTTCCTTCACTCATCACTGCTTCTTTCAGGTTCTTCAACTCTTTCGCCGCTGATGGCTGCAACAACAACAAAGAGAAATTCATCCATTTCTATGCGGTTTAGGGTTAGGATAAAAGATGGGGAAGTGTGTCCGTTGGATTTGGTCTTTCACTTACAGCTGCACTTCCATCCATTTCAACAAAAGCCTCCTCCATCCTGCCGTAGGTTTTCGACTTGCTATCGTGCTGCATCATGCTTTCCTTAGCTGTTTGCACCATCTTCTTCCTTATCAACTACATTCATATATCAGCCAATACCACCATTTTCAGACCTTTGAGTAGTGACATTTAATTCCAATCCTTTAAAATAAGAACAGAGCATGTGAAAAAAGCTCCCTGACCTGTCCATTGAGAACCGAAAGGCTCTTGGTATGCATAGGAGACTGCGGGAGAACTCCATTGCAGGGAGGGAGACCAATCAATCCACAAATCAAAGTCTGGAAAAACAATCATCCAAAACAAAACACTTTCAGACTTTCAAAAGTGATTTCGTAACACAATCGTTAAATCGAAGAAAGCACATACCGTGATGCCGAGGATTAAAATGTCGTAATGGTAAGCAGAGGGCTTCTTGATGTTGAACTCCTTCTGTTGTGCCATTTGAGAAGCAACGCTATGATCGAAGAAGTAAAGCCCTGCAACCATCACAGCTGGTATGATCGCAGCCAGAATGAACCCCGGTGGCACTTTTGCCATATCCTGATGAAACAAACAAACGAATCCATTATCACTTTCCTCAAAATCCTCTGCCTTGAAACAAAGTTTCAAATTTTCCTATAGAAATGATTACCATGAAGACGGTCCAGTGTCCCATTGAGGCAGGGTCCCAGGGCAGGGGAGTCTGCAGCCGCCGCGGAATTCCTTCGGGAACCTGGCGCGGCACTGTCAACGACAGTGCCGCCCATGCCATCACCACCAATGGGACGCCATAATCGGCGATGATGCTTCGAAACCATCCGGTGCCGTATTCCCAAGACCTCGCCTTTCTGCTCTTCAGAGCTGTGATGAGAACGCCGAAGGTGAAGATGACTCCCAGAAGGCCGTTTACGTATAGCCACTGGAAGCTGTGGTCTGGTGATTTTTCGTCCTCGCCCTCCGTAGGGCTGAACTCACCCACCATCCCCTGTTTTTGTTTTCCCCCCAAACACACAAATGTTTGTTCATGTGCTTGTTTGCTCTGTTAACCACTATTCAGGGGAGTGGGATTAAATTACCTTTACGGCCTGCTGGAAGAAGAGAACGGCGATCAACATTCCAAATGTCTCGCCTGCAAGTCTGGTGAACTTGTTGAGGATGTTGCAGGCGTCGAACACGGCGAGGAGAATGAGCATGAGAGCTGTCCATACACATACCCTGAAGAAAAGAAAAGAAAAACAGAGGATTTGAAGAAGAAGAAATTTCTTTGGAAGAAATCAATCAGTTGTTTTTGGCAATGGGAGAAAGGTTTTTTTTTTTGTTGTTGTTGTTGTTTTTCGTACCATCCAGCCCAAGCAAGGTAGAGCTTTTTTCCTACGGCATCGGAGCTGATGGCAAAAGTGTAGATGTAGCTGTACATGATGACAGTAGGCTCTGCAACTCCCACCACCAACAATGGCTGCCCGCCGATAAGGGAATGGATGATTCCGCAAAGAGCCGTTGAAGCCAGGGTCTCCACCGTGCTCAGGCTTCCATCTGAAAATCGGAAGAAGAAAATTTGCAAGCATCAATGGAGGAAGAAGAAGAACAGAGACAAAAAGATTTGGAGAAAAGAAATCCTCATAATGGGGAACCTGTTTCCCGGCTTAGTTGTTCCCCGAAAGCGATGACGGGGAGAGCGGAAGCGAAGAAGATGTAGGCAATGGGGGCGAAAATCCTGGCGGGAAGTTCGAATTTTAAATCAATCATATGATGGGAAAGTCAATTAAACCAATTTTGAAGAGATATTTGCAGAAAAGGAAGGGGGAAAGTTGGAGAGACCTGGGACCGGCGGCGAAGGCATTGCTCCAGTCATCTCCATAGACAGCTTTTCTTCCTTTCACGTCTTGAATTATGCCTTTCATCGTTTACAGCTTCATGGAAGAAGAAAAGGAAAATGAGATGATGCGTGGGGTGATTCAAAACAGGGGAAGTAAGATAAATAATGCAAAAAAGGAAGAATGGATAAATGCTCTGTTTTCCTTGGTTAAAAAAAACAGAGAGGTAATTTGCTATAATTGTACCTTTGTAGCAAGCTCGAGAGGAGCCAAACCAGACGCCAATAACGGGGAATTGGCGTCTGGGGGAAGGTAGGGGAAGAAATCGGTTTTGGGTGAAAGAGAGATTGTAGAACTGAAATGAGAAGAGGGGTCAGAATAGAAAGAAAGAGAAGGAACAGAGGGAAAACAGAGGAACAATGGCGGGAAGAATACCCGAAACAGAGAGGGGAAAACTTTGTTGTTGAATGCCGAGAGAGAGAGAAGCCGTTGAATGGTATGTGGCCGCTGCTTTGTTTGGTTACAATCTCCTTCTTCTCCTCCATTCGTTCTTTTGTTCATTCTTGTCTTGTTGGATTTTGCCATAACTGGTATGCATCATAAACTATTTTTCAACCCTCCACTCAATCATATAAGGAGATAAATATTTTGAAATGTATACATACATAACTCGCATTATTATGGTAGAACGAGAGAAAATGACGACGTTTTATATTTGATTGGTTGTTTATGAATAAGAATAACGAAATTAATTTGATACTCGCTTCCATGTATACATATCAATCCGTTGTAATCTAGTTGGTCCGGATATCCGGCTAAGTGATGTATACATGGAAAAGAACCCTAACGAACAACGAAACTATACACTTGCAGAGGTTGCAATTGGCCAATTATCAATCACCTATCCTGAGTAGCAGCAGTACTATCCTCAGTAGTTCCTTCACTAACAAACATCAATTCATCACCATCTCTAATCACTTCAATATCATCAACCTCAACCCTATCCACAGTCACAACCTTGCCAACCCTGATCCCGTATTTCTTTTCCCCCAAGTCAAGCAACTCCTGAAACGTCTTAGGAAGCACCACAAGCTTCCTCGTATCGCTTCCCTTCTCTGGGCAGCTTATCGTCACTCTAGCTACACTCTTCCCGTGGCTCGGATTGTTGCTGCCAACAGGAAACAAGGCCTCTTTGCTGTGATTACTCTCCCCGTTCTGCGCAGCAGCCGACATCATCCCGAACAGCGAGTTGTGGAAGTTGTTCGTCTTCCTCCTCGGCCTCCTCCTCGAGCTCCACGAGCTATCCTCTTCACTCGCAGCCACGGGGTGGATCGTCGGCTCGCTCGTGAACCTCCCTAGGTACCTGATCCCTTTCTCCTGCTTCTCCGGTATCGACGAAACCATTGGTGGTGGGGGCTGTAGATGATCTTTCGTTAGTTTGCTCGATGTCTTGAACATGTTCTGGATCTCCTCGTGGCCCTGCTGATCGGCCAGATCGCGAGGTGTCCACCCGTTGACGTCCGGCTTGTCAGCGTCGGCGCCTTGTTCAAGAAGGTACCTGACGATCTCGGCATTGTCCTCGCAGACCGCCACGTGGAGCGCTGTGCTGCCGTTGCTGGTGTTGGCCGCTGTGATGTCGCCTCCATGGCGGGCGATCTCCTTGAGCAGGTCGAGGTTGTTCTCCTCGGCTGCAGTGCACGCGAAGTGGCCGACATCTCCTGACTGTATGGTGGCGCCGTTTTCTTGAAGGAGCTTCACTACTCCTGAGTGGCCGGCTTTGATGGCCTCCCATAGTGGCACGTTGCCATCCGAGTCTGCAACAAGGTCAACTTTCTGACATCAGGATGCTTAAAGAAACTCCATGATTGAATCTGCTCTGTCTTTTTATAATTAGTTTGCTTTAGATCACTCAAAAAGTCGATTAATTTCTGTGTAGGTGGTCCAAACGTGTATATGAAGTCAACTAACTTCTGTGCCGGTGATCTAAACTTGTTTTTCGAATTGTTGTATATTATACCCAGATCTCAGTCAATGCTATTACTAATTCAAGTAGTTGGTTGTTAACTTGTTATAGATCTAAAATGTAGATAAGGTATAATAAGTAATAACAAAAAAGGGCTAGATGAATTGTGGTCAATGAAACTACAAAAATGGCAAGAAATCTTGACTTGCCTCGGCAGTTGGGATCAGCACCATAATCCAGCAGAAGAAGCACACAGTTCTCACTTCCTTTCGACGCTGCGATGTGCTGAGATTTTAGAAAGGATGTCAGAATGGACTTTACTCTTTCGGGCATTACTTGGAGAAGGGACAGGGGGGGAAAGGTGGAAGCTTTACCAGAGCTGCTCTGTTGTTGTTGTCAGATTCATTTGCATCTAAACCACGTTTGAGTAGCTGGTGTAACAAGAGATCATCTCCTCTCAGTGCAGCAAAGCATAGGCTGAGAGGAATGTCCATTCTTCCATGAGCCAGCATGTTCTCTGTCTCGAGCAGAACTCCCTCCATTATTGGATCCTTGAGATCTTTCAAATGCTGAGCCCATCATGAAAACATCAGAATCCAGCAGTAAAATTTACTACCCAATGTTAAATTCTTGAGGCAAGCAATGATTCATGTAGTAAGGTTAAAAATTCAACTCACTAACCTGAAGAAGATTGTTCATTATGATTGTCCCATCTCCAACATTGGCTTGAACGATATTCAAGAATGTAGTTCTGTTCATTCGAAGCAGCTGACACAATCTTTTCGTCCTCACGGTAAACAGCTGTGGTTTGTAACATAGCACTCCAATCTCACCACAAAGATCACCAGTCTTAAGCTCCCCAACCACCTGCAAGGAGTTCAGTGTAAAGATTTCAGCACAAAGCTTAATCAGCAAAGTTAAGGAGTACTGCAATCAAGCATTTCTAAGGTGCAGGGCTTGCCTGTTCCACTCCATTCTTGAGAACAAGTAGATCCTACGAAGTAAAAGGGAAATGTCAGCAGCAGCAGACTAAATAGATAAATGCAATCCTAACTCAAATATGCACAAATATGTGAAATCTAGAAACTTTACCACGGCACCAGTTACGAGTATATAGAAATCAGTTGGTGCTTCATTCTGCAAAATCACATCTTCTTTGGGAGGGAAATACTCAGCTTTCATCTCTGACACCTTTTGAGAGTAATGGTCCATTTTTTCAGTAAACAAACGCCAGATATACAGAAGATTATTGAGAACGCAAAGGGTAAATGGCTCTCTATAAACGACTTACCAACTGAAAAAGCAAGTCATTTGAAACCCCGCGAAACAGATAGACTTTGTCAACTAGAGAGTAGAACAGGTAATGTGAAATGCTTGACCGAATGGCTTTCGGAAGAGAATCGAGAGTCTCCTGCTGCTGCAGTCCCTCTGAATCCGTTCTGAATTTCAAACACAAATGTGCAAGCATTTGATCTTGTAGCCTCACTGGTAACTGGTTCCTATGAGCAAAACTTGAAGCAGCTTGTATGGTATCCCTCTGAAATATTTGTATTGTCACTAAAAGGTTCTGAAAGACACATGAATACAGTAAATGTCTACTGAAATATAGAAAAGTAAGAGATCGCTCACAAATCTTCTGGTTCGACTGGTACCATGAACAACCAAGTTGGTCATGTTACCGATCAAGTACGCAGTCAATCCAAGGTTGAAGAGCATGTAGAAGATGTCAAATATCATCTCTCTTGTATTGACAGGATGCAGATCGCCATAACCAACTGTTGTGAGAGTAGTAATAGACCAGTACATTGAAGTAACATATCGAATCCATAGTCCCCTTTCCAGAAAGTTATTCCCAAGAGATGCTCCAATCCATGTTCTTTCTGGGTTGTGGTAGCGAGCAGCAATAAGATAATAGAAGCATCCAGCACAATGCACAGCAAAAAGGGTGACCTGTGCATTACCAAAAGAAAATAAAATGGGTGACTTTCATCAACCATTCACATCCTAGTCAGAACCAGAATTTGCAAAACTCAAACATTTCTTCAATACTTACACAAATGAGCTTGGCACATCGAACCCAGAAGTAGTTGTAGTTCCTATCTTTCTCCAATCTGATCAAAGTATTAAACATTTAAGGCTTCTTGCAGAGGTCAAAGAACACGTAACCAATTAGACTCAGCAGAGGGGAAGAAGGCTTCTCTCTTACCTGGAAAAGAGGGAACTAACTCTTCTAAGACGCCATAGACGGAGCATGTTAAACAAGCCATATGACCTGAATGGCTTAGGGGATAGTTTCCAAGCGAGTTCAGATGGGATGATGGAAATGACATCAAGGGCCAACCATGTCCTGGCGTACTTCCAAGCAATCTGTCTTCGGTTGTCCACTAGAAGGTAAGTTGATTTGTCGAGGTAAGCCACAAAGAAGGTGAGAATGATATCCACAGCAAAGAATCCATTCACAATGTTATCGGTAATTGAGAGTGGCCCTTCTGGTTTTCTGAGAAACCCGAACTCGAAAGGTGATACCCAAGCTGTGTAAATGACCAAGACAATGAGGAATGTCTCCCATATCCTGCAAGATTCAAATCATTCCTCAAGTTAGCAGCTCAACTCTGCCAAAAAGAACACAGGCAAGTTGAAAGCAGATTCTAAATTGGTTGGTAGAATGTTTATGATGCAAGTGAAAAGTCAAAGCAGATTACCCCCACTATAATCTGGAAGACAATATAGTTCAAACTTCAAAGTTCAGCCCAGTCAAAAAACACATGCAAGAGGTTTAGGAATTTCAACTGTAATTTCGAAAAAGGACAAATCTTTTACCAGATCGTTGAAACCCAAGCCAAAACAGAATCTAGGGACTGATAGAGGAATTGTATTCTTCGGCAGCTTCTAAGCAAAGAGGATAAAAACAGCTAGCAGCCTAGCTTACAATAAAATGGGCAAAAATGTCCCTCACTTTTGCACAGGATTCAGAAAAGATAAAAGCATGGGATCCATCAAAAGAATGGGGGGAAACTTGCTTAGCAAAAAGAAAATACAACTATAAAATAAGGAACCCAAAACTTGCTTAGGAAGCAGTACAAGGATAAACAAAGCAGATATACCACTGAACACAAAGAAAATTGACTACGATGGAGACGAGGCAACAGAACAGAGAAAACTTAGCCCGAAGAAAGAACCAAAGGGAAAAAGCCAGCTACAATCAGAAGAGACAAAAAGGGATCACAGCAAAAAAAGGTGGAAATCGCAAAAACAGCCCAAGTTGGCACAAACAGACAGAAGATGAGTCATTGGAGTTTGGAGAGGAAAAAAGGCTAAACTCCAAAGATCAATAAACAAATCTAGGCTCAGTCGCTGACCCAATTTCAATCCAACTGCGAGCAACGTGGCTCACGGCACATTGCTGCCATTTGCCACAGATCAAAGACAACAACCAGTAACCTGAA